TCAAGGTCCCACATTTCTTTCAGTCGGGTCAAGTTTCTAAGCTTCTAAATCTCCGTTTTCCGGCTAATGAAGAGAAAATAGGACTCCACCGAGTCTCCTATCTCCCTACTCCAGGACTTCTGTGAGGATCAAATGAGATGAGGCACGGGAAAGCACTTCACAGACATTTGGTTAGAGTGTAAAATGTTTGCACCTGGCTATAAAGCAAGTCTGTTCGTGGGCTGAAGAAACTACAAGGAGCTTGGCTGTTGCTAGGGAGAGGAAGCCAGGTGTTGCTACGTGATACCATTACTCAGTGCCCACCGCGACTGTTTGAGGGCTGGGCTGAGCTGTGGGCTGCATTTTGTGCCATGGAGTCTCGGCAGCATCGGCTGGGATTTGGTGGGCTGTCGCTCTGGGTGGTGGTGGTGCCTATGTCCCATTTGGGGGAAGCTGAGTGTTGCTTTGTGGGCATCAGGTCCATGGTGTGGTTTCTCTGTGCACGTCACAGCAGCTCCTGCGTTGAGAGTCTGCCCCTTGGTGGTCAGAGTGCATCATAGTAACTGGTCAGACAGTTAGACACTTAGCATATTAGCCTTTATATATGTATATATATATGTATGTATACACACACACACACACACACACACACACACATATATGGTTGGAAGAAAAACAACCTCAGCAATGAGCATGGTGAGGGTTAATCCTATAGCACAGGCTGGCGCTGGCCACGTCACCTCTGCCATCTCATCTAGCCCTACAGTAGCCCACCCTATGAAACAGGCCATTGTTATCCCACACAAAGACCGAGGACGCAGGCTCAGAAGTTACGTAACAGCCCCAAGTCCCACAGTGAGTGAGTTGTGACACCTGATTTAAACCTGGCAGGTCTGCCACAGAGCCCACCTCCAGGACCCCTGCTGTGTCCACGGCAGGTCACTCAGGAGTGTGAGGATCAGAATGTGGAGGATGGATGAGGAGAGGGATGGTTGGTGGATGATGGATGGAGAAGGGAGGAGGGATGGTTGGAGGGATGGCTGAAGGGATGGCTGGAGGGATGGGTAAATGGGTGGATGAGTGAATGGGGGAATGGGAGGAGGGAAGAGAGATGGCTGGAGGGATGGGTAAATGGGTGGATGAGTGAATAGGGGGATGGGAGGAGGGAAGAGGGATGGCTGGAGGGATGGGTAAATGGGTGGATGAGTGAATGGGGGGATGGGAGAGGGAAGAGGGATGGCTGGAGGGATGGGTAAAGGGGTGGATTAGTGAATGGGGGGATGGGAGGAGGGAGAGGGAGGAAGGACAAACATAAACATGCAGTCTTTCAGGAGCTTTCAGCACTTGGTCCTGCCTGGGTAAGCACCCCACCTCCACCCTCGGCAGGGGACCCGAGGGCCGGCTGAGGGTCACCCTCCTATGAGAAGGGGATCTCATTATGCTCTGGAGACCACAGCAGCCGGTCTCCCGGTTTTAGCACCTCCGCCACCTCTAAGCACTTGCCCTTGACAAGAACCTGGAGAGCGAGAGGCTTTAGGAGAATAAAAGCTCCTTTGAAGAGAGACTTCACACTTGCTTCCAATTCTCTGCGAGTGTCAGGCAGGGTCCAGGCAGGGAACGGAGACACGGCCATGGAATAGGGCTTTTTTAATAGAAATCCAACTGCCTATGGTGGTGTGAGGAGCTGGGGAGGGGCGTGGAGGCCCAGGAGGGGGGCTGGAGGGTCCACAGTCAATCAGAGGCCCAGCAGGTCCAGCCGCCACAGGCCGGCCAGGGGGAGCCAGAGCCTCTGCACAGCTGCTGGCAGGTCTGCAGCCTGGCACCTGGCACCTGCAGGTGGGCCTTGCGTCCGGCTGGACATCAGGGCTCAGAGCCCGGAAGACCTGCTGGGTGCACGTCAGCAGGGGGCAGGGACAGGCAGGGCCCTGAGCACCTGGTCTGCCGTCCATCCCCTGCCCTGATGCCCACAGACCCCAGCGAGCCTGGTTCCCTCAGTCTGCGTGCATTCCTCCTGGGAATGGAACCACAGGCAGCGGGGATGCTGGGAAATGTAGTTCCCAGCTTAGCCCGGGCAGCCCTGGAGGCCCACCGGGCTCCTGTGATGAGAGAGAGAATGCTTCCTGGTCCCGGCTCCGGGGAGATGCGCCTGTGAACCGTGATCACATGGCCAGCGGGTCGCAGTATGATCGCTGTCATGTGACTGAGGATGAAACGGCTTCTCGGGAAGAGGCCCAAAGGCTCAGGGCGCTGAGGGCCGCGGCGGAGACGGTCTTCCGACGTGGCCCCCGGAGGCGCGGCCCGGCCGCCCGGAGCGCCAACGTGACGCGGCCCGAGAGGGAGAAGCACCGTGGCCTCCGCCCCGCGGCGCCCCGAGAAGCGCCGGCCGGCGTGGAGGCAGCTCCCCTGGCCACGAAGGAGCCTCGTGTCCCCTCCTTCGGAGCACGCCGCCTCCCCTCCCCCTCGGCGGAGCGGAACGCCTGTCCGCACGCGGCCACACACGCGGGAAGGACCGGGCGCCTGGGAGGTGTCCGTGACACGTTCCCACCGAACTCCGTGTGCTGCCCGCGCTCCACGCGGGGCACGGCTCCTGTCCAGTGGCCCGGAGACCCGTGTGAGACTGACCCCTGCACACCCTGACCCTGAACAGCAGAGCGGACTCGGAACTGAAGTGGCCCGGCTGCCCTGGCTCAGCTAGGAGCCAGGAGGTCAGGGTTCGATTCCCGTGCCTGGGTTGTGGGCTCCATTCCCAGTGGGGGGCGTGCAGAAGGCAGCTGATCCGTGATTCTCTCTGATCCGTGATTCTCTCATCATGGATGTTTCTCTCTCTCTCTCTCTCTCTCTCAGAGATAATGGTGGCTGGTCACCCCCTAGGGCACGTGAAGCCTGGATACAAGCAATCCTGTGACAGTTACGGGGAGCCACGGACATGGACTTCCAAGTGTGCGAGCCAGGTCACGTGGGCAGGTGCTAGGTCACGTGGGCAGGCTGCTGACAGCTGTTGGAGAGGCAGCAGGTGCCCGCTCACCTGTGGTCACTGCTGAGCGGCACAGGGTTGGCTAGTGGAGAGGGTTTTATTGATTTTTTTAATCCTCACCTGAGGATATTTTCCCATTGATTTTAAGGGGGAGTGGAAGAGAGGGGAAGATAAACATTGATGTGAGAGAAACACATCGATGGGTTGCCTCCTCTATCAGCTCTCAACAGGGCCCTGGCTAAGGAGGAGCCTGCAACTAAGGTACATGCCCTTGACCGGGATCGAACCCGGGACTTTTGTCTGCAGGCCGGCGCTCTGTGCACTGAGCCCACTGGCAGGGTAGTATGGAGGCTTTTATAGAGCTTGGGCTCTACGGAAGGGTCCTGCTTTATGCACTCAATGCGGGAGGAACGTTCTCCCACTGTTTGTTTGTCTCATTTTAGAGAGAGAGAGAGAGAGAGAGAGAGAGAGAGGCACGTGGATTTGTGTTCCACCTCGTTACAAGTTCGTTGGATGAAGTGCTTCTCACTGGCCTCCAGCTGGGTCAGGGCGCCCGGCTGGCAGTGGTGACCACCGACGATGGCAGTGTGGCTGGCGCGACACCGTCGTGACGGATTTGGTGCTCGGGCCCTCACGTCCCCAGCCCTCCTGGTGGGAAGGACGGTTAAGCTTGGCATCTGCTCCTCAGTCTCAGCCCACACGACCGTTAATGCCGGCGCCGTGCCGCCAGGGCTCCTGGGACGCCGTGTGGGCGGGAGCCGTGAGAACCTGCTGGTCGTGCCTCACAGGGGAAGGTCAGGCGAGACGGCCGCGTCCCCTCCCCGGTGGCCCGCCCTCCCTGGAGCTGCACGGGGGAGTGTCAGGCCAGGCAGGACGCTGCTGCCTGAGTGTGCAGGAGGGAGGCGGTGAGATTGCAGTAAAAGAACAAATCCAAGCGGCACCCAAACAGAGAAACGGGGACGAGAAGGCCCCGGAGACACTAGGACGTGACGTGAGGGTCACTGGGGACCAGGTGGCTGCCAGCCAGACAGACCTCCTGGGAGGGGAGTGACGAGGCCGCAGGGAGGCAGGGACACTCAGGAGGACACTGGCCTCGAGAGGACAGGGCCCCACCCAGGAAGCGAGCCCACAGGCTCTCCTCCGGCCACGTCCTCCCATTGCAGTCACTCAGCCATTCCGCCCGTGCTCTGTGCTGCCTACGAGCCTGCGGTCACACTGCAGACCCAGATCCGTGACATCAGGCACATCCCGGGGCTCTCGGTGACGCCGTGGTGACGGGCCCCCGACGGCCTGTCACCGGGCCCAACCCCCGAGCTCTGAGCTGTGCACCGGCGCTTCCAGGAGAGGCCCCCTGCAGGGCTGCATCGGCTCAGGGGCCGGCTGAGGAGCTGGAGGCTGAGGGAGGGCAGGACCCCAGCAGCCCTTCCCAGGCCCAGGCCGCCTCCGGCAGCAGCACGGGCAGGGCGGAGGGAGTGGACGAGGGAGGAGTGGACGGAGGGATGGAGGGAGGAGTGGGAGGAGGGAGGAGTGAACGGAGGGAGGAGGGATGGAGGGAGGAGTGGACGGAGGGAGGAGGGAGGAGTGGACAGAGGGAGGAGGGATGGAGGGAGGAGTGGACGGAGGGAGGAGTGGACGAGGGAGGAGTGGACGGGGAAGGAGGGACGGAGAGAGGAGTGGACGGAGGAGGGACGGAGGGAGGAGGGAGGAGCGGAGGAGCCCGGCCTGAGGGACCGGTCAGCCCATAGGCCCGATGCAGGAGCTCTACCTCCTAGAACGAAGCACATCAATCACCCACACGTACGACCACGGGAGGGTCTGCCTCTCGGCTTTATTGGACTATTGGACAGCGACACAACAGGTTATTTTACAAAAAGAGCTCAAGCTGCTCAGAAAAGGCGCCGGGGCTGTGGAGAGAGGGGCTGGGACAGGCCTCCCGCCGGGCCGATGGCTGGCAGGCGGCGGACAGAGCCCCGCACTCCCCTCGGGGGCCACACTAGTGCGCCAGGAGGAAAGCAGCTTCCGCAGGAGGGAAGCCACGGCCAGACGGCTAGGTGGACCTGCAACGAGAAAAGACGGTTCAAAAGACGGGCTCAGACCAACGAAGTTTTCCCTGAAATACTCTGCATCCGAACCATTCCTCACACTCATCCCGGACCAAACACACTCAGTCTGGGCCCAGCCCTCGCCACCTCTGAAGTGAGCCGCGCAGTCGGCACGAAGCCGGGAAGCGCCTAGCACAGGCCCCGTGCGGCGCTGCCCCGGAGCACACTGAAATGGATGGCAGTCTCTCGGCCATTTTTCCTTTTTAGCCGTAATCACCAGCGGCTGGACAACTGAAATGGCCATGGAACTATATAAATGTCAGAAAAATATGTAAACCTCATTAATGTTCCCCAAAACTCATTTAGAGATAGAAACAGGTCCAAATAGATGCCTGTCTGAATGTACTGCAATTACGTTACAATTATTTTTCCAAATACACAGATAGGCTCTGTCTTTTCTCAGCTCATTACTGACTCAAACAATTCGCCCTTCTGGGATCAATTGTTTGCTAATAAATAATTGTTTACAGTCACAAAATGATGTTAGGAGGTTTTCTTATTAGTTTCCTTCTGCACCCTAATAAGATTGAAAGCTAGCTGAGTCCCCAGAGTCCAACCCTACCCTCGCTCTGTTTAACAGCCCAGGAAATGATGGACCATCTGCTTCGGGAAGAATGGGCGGAGGAGGAAATGCTGTTTAATTGAAGATTAACCTCCTCGTGGGCAGTCTGAGGCCTGAGAATGCGGCCATCAGCGGCAGGAAAGGGCTGCAGAGCCTGTCCTCCATTTCAGCCCCGAACACAATGCACAGGGTTTTACTGCCTCCATTTCTTCCCACACGTGCACTCCCTCAGCGGACACAAACCAGCAAGGTCAAACGGACTCTCAAAAGCGCAGTCACCGCTCCAATTTCGTTTGCCGAATACCTTTAACGCAGCAAACCATCAAGCCAGCCCATGCGCTTAAGAAAAGTGTTTGTTTACAGAACAAAATCAATAAAAACCTCTTATCCCTTATGTTTAGGTTCCTATAATATTAAAATTAATGTTTTCTCCGGTTTCTGGGTTAATAGTAATAAATCCACCGTTAGAGTAGGAATTGTTTTATCATCAGCAACATGGCACTAAGTAAATGACATCTTGTCAAGTACATGGTGGCCTACAAGTCCAAAAGAGAACACAACAGCATGAGGTCAGAATGGCCGGCCAGGACAAGAGATGAGAGAGGGGGGAGCTGGGGGGCAGGGAGGACAGAGAGCACGCAGATGCGAGCACAGCCTTTACCAGGCTCCCCGCACCCGCCTCTCGGGTCCCGCCGGTGAGAGTGCCGATCGCCAGTATTTCCCCCTCGGCCTCCCAGGCCTCAGCCCATCCCGCACGGTGCTCGGGCGCCAGGCCGTTTCCCCTCAGGAGGGCCTTCCCGCAGGGCCTGGGCGCAGGGGACAGGACAGGACGAGACCGGGAGGGGCACGGGTCCCGGCGACTGGGCATCAGCTGGCCCTGCCTGTGCAGGGCACTGAGGAAAGAGCTCTGCCTGCAGGTCCCGACCCCGGTCACCAGTCCCGTCAGCCCGGCCGGGAGATCTGTGTGTCGGTCGGCACTAAGACCCGCTGCCCGGGCAGGGCGGTCCCGCTCTGCGTTCCCAACGACCCAGCCACTCCCTTTGTGTAGATGTCACAGAGACAACCTCCGTGGAGGGGAACGCTTTTTGGCAGTTCAGAGTCTTACATATCTTAAATAGAATTTGCTTAAATAATTCTTGAATTCCTCAACTTAATTTCCCAGCAATGAGCTGGCAATAACTCCCGGGACCCAATAACTGGGCCTAGTCAAGAAGAACGAGGGTTTGACATTCTCCCCGCAGAACAACCAGGCACCATCTTATCCATCAGACGTCTATCAACCCGCGGATATTGAAAGCTTGGAGCACAAGATAAGATCAGCTCCCGCCCACAGCCGCGGGACTATCAGGCAGGCATCTACCGCGCCATCCATGGCTCCAGAAACATTAATAAGCCGGGTGAGCCAAGCGCAGGCTCACACACAGGTGAAGATGCTCACTTGGGCTTTGTCTCTGCGTCGGTCACTTGGCGGATGAAGATGCCGTCCTCGGGGTGCTCCGTGTCGTCCATTTCATACATGTAGGAGGATGCTATTGCGAGCGTGGTCCCATCGCTGCTGAAGGCCAGCGACGCGATGCTGGTGGGGTACCGGTGGAACTGGCACAGCCGCTTTTTATTAAACGGGTCCCAAATGTTTACAAACCCGTCAGAGCCACCTGCAAGTGATTTGGGAAAGTCAGAACGACCCTTAGGGCAGATACAGAAACCACCACCATCGGCGCCGCTGGCTCCTTTTAAGATCAGGGAGACACTTCCCCCAAGAACCCTGGCCGCTCCGCCCCCTCCAGCACACACAGCAGCACATCCTTTCCCAGCCCTGCTCCGTGCCAGCCTCCGGGCGCACGGCGGACGGCACCTGTGGCGAACGTGTTGTGGGTGTTGTGGAAGGAAATGGCGTTGACCGGGTAGATGTGCTCGATGTTGTTCTCTTTCAGCCGGTGGCACTTGAAGGCATACTTCTTCTTCTGCACCTCGGGGCTGGGGTCCAAGTACTCCACTGCCACCCGGCCCTCAATGGAGCTCAGCACGTAGCCCTGCCGAGGGAGCCGAGAAGCCGGGACTGTGAAGCCGCGGGCAGGCCAGGCACTCCCCATCCCACCCGCACAGAGCGAGGATTCCAGAAAGCAGGCCGGGCAGTAGCAAATGCTTAGGCTACACTAACAGTGCCAACTGAACCAAAATGTCCAGATCCCAAGACTTGGTTTTATTAGAAAATGAGACTATCATCACTTATTTTTTATGTCAAAGTAAAAGACAAGAAAAACATACCATCTATTTCTTTAATTCTTCAAGGTATAAGAGATTACTATTGAAAACCTTCTTATGGAGATAAGAAAATCAGTCAAATCTTACTTTTAGTTAAACTTCCATTATAAACTGGAGAAATACTCTGACAAAATGTTAGATGACATAAAAATATTTAAAATACAAGCATATTTTGATCATGTAGCTACATTTCTCAAATCTGAAAACTGCAACTCCTCATTTTCAATGGAGATTGACAGTATTTTGAAGGAAAAAATGTGAGCCCGTTCGAAGCCCTGCCTTCCAGCTGCAGGAGCCGAGAAGCGATGACTTCCCTGTCTCCGCAGCCGCCGGATTCGAGGGCCAAGACCGGCGCTGCCTGCAGACACGTCCCCCTGCGCCCCCGCGGCCACACCGCCCCCTCGGGGCTGCAGGGAGCGGGCTCCACCGCACAGCAGCACAGCCAGCTCGTTAGCGCGGCGATGACAGGCTGACCCTGCACGAGCAAGTGTCAGAGGGCACTGCCTTCCACGCGGGGGCCGCTTGTAAAATCCCAGGCCTGCTGCTACCTCACAGAAGAGCTCGGTTACAAAGAGAAACGGAGAGAGAACAGCCAACCCCACACCCTTCATTTCGATTCAAATTTGAATCCAGTGGCGTGAAAGTGACATAAGGCTCTCCTTGACTGTGTGTCTGACAAGCCTCCTGAACCAGGATCAGCAAGGAATCAGAAGATCCTATCAGACAGCCTCCCTGAACATCAAGGTCAGCTCTAAAAGCGGGTCAACACTCTCCCTTCTAACAAAGGATGTCAGAAACCCACCTAACAATTCTAAATCTCTGCTCCAAAGAAAGGACCAAGTGTTTAAAAGGCAGCAAGCGAACGTTATTACAGAAGACCCTGTTATTTACAGACCCCGAAGGCGGGGGCGGGGGGCACGCACCTGCTTGTTGGGGAAGGCCCGGATGCAGCGTGTCTGGTACTTGAGGCTGGACTCGCGGCGCTGCTGCACGTAGCCCATGTTGCGCAGGTCCCACACGAGCACACGGCGGCCCGCCGTGCCCACGATCAGCCGGTCCCCGGACACCGACAGCGTGTACACCTTCGGGAGACCCACTGTACAGTCAGCTCCTGGCCCAGAAATGGCACTGCCCCAAGCTAAGCCCACCAACCCTACCACCAGAAACCGTAGCTGACTGCTCCCAAACCTTGCCATTTTCATTGCTATAGTTACACAAACCAGCTGACCCACACAAAAAGACAAGCCCAGGATATTCTTCAGGCTTGACCAAGTACATATTAACTCCTTATTTTATAACGTACATTCTAATTAATTCCAAAATCGCTTTTGAGGAATTCTCATTACTAAGACAAATTAAATTTTTAAACAACCTTTCCAGCCTGTTTCACTCAGTGATAACGTTAAAGTGTAAAAACAGTCAAAAAGGAGACAATAAGCCAGAAAACAATGCGGACGCCTCTCCAGGGCTCTGGCTTTTCAGTGATTTTTCCGGGAGCCTCTGGAACAAGCCTTCTCCCGGCCTCCCGCTGTCACACGGCGGGGAGAGGCTGTCCCAGAGGAGGGCGGGCACCGCGCCGGCTCGGCCCAGCTCGGTGGCGGCGGCACGTGAACTCAGTGCATCCGGCAGAGCCCACCCCTGAGCCGAAGGCAGAGCCCACTGCACACAGAGCTGTCTCTAGGAAAAGCCTAAAAGGCCTTTCTCCATCCAAGTACTTTCCCTCCTGGGGCCCCTTTTCCAGTAAAACACCGTCCACAGAAATCCTTCAAGATAAATAACAAACACACGCAAGGATTTAAAAGTGTCCCTTTCAAATACGTATTCGGAAATCAAGTCAAGATAGCAAATTCGTGAAAATGGTGGCAAAATGTATTTTCCTGACCATGTTAAATCTTTTGATAATCTAGACTTCAAAGTTGTTCTCTGATTATTTCTCCGTTAATGAGCAGCTCTAAACTTATTTTTTAGCAACTCTAACCTGATGTAATATTTTAACACCTGAAGAGTCATTTTACAAAACGATAAAGCCTGTATCATGGTAAGACATCCCTTTAACACATTAAGCCACATGGTTAATCATCACTAATATGTTAAGTACATACCAAAAGTCAAAAAAATAAAAAATAAAAACAAGTTAGGATTAACAATGCAAAAACCCAATCTTACCCCAATCTGGCCTTAAAAATCAACAACTACTTTGACCAAGGGAAACATAAGGAATTAAAAAGATTCCAAACAGTTTATTTAATACAGATATACTTACATATAGACATACTTAAATAAACCATAGTTTATTCAGAAAACAAACTGTTTGTAGAAAATAGAAATTAACCTAAGTCACACAGAACACCAAACTTAGAAAACACAGAACCCAGAAAGAAATCACTTTATAACAGGACAATCAGACCGGGAATTTTATCTTAAATCTTTATACAGGTGACACAGAGTCTAGCCGTGCTTTCTACCCCCTCCGACCATCAATCACGGGAAGCCACTGTCAGGCTACTGACGAGGTCTATACATCTATCAAAGGAAGTATTAAAAAAACTGACATAATGAACCTCGCCGAACCAATAAGCAGCTTGATTCAGTGTGGCTGTCCATTACATGATATTCTGTCAGCAATTTATCACAGCTCTTAACATGTTACATGCAACCATATATCAAAACTAGAAACAATGCAATTATTTCATTCTGAACAAAGGTCTTGCCAGGTTGTAGATTCGACTCTGAAGTGACAAAAATAATGGCTCTTTGGATGCACTCCAGTATATAACGACGCGCCAGGAGCTGAGGAGTGTTTACACTGAGAAATAGACTAAGTGAAGGATACCTCTGCCCTGCTCAGCCAATCCATCTTTAAAATTAACTACCACTTGCTGGCATTGATGAGGCTGCAGCCAGAATGCTCCATCCCCCTTTCGCTGTACAGATCAAGAGGTTAGAATAAGACACGGGCTCGGTCTTAAGGAGCTGGTTCACCAGAGCCTTCAGACAACGCCTGTCTGTGCCAAACGTGAATGAATAAATAACCGGCAGGAGCCAGGGACAGAGGCCAGGGTGCGCACTAAATCCACAACGCCAACAGTAACGCCCATGAGGCCTCAGGCCTGAGCAAATGAGAGATGCACCCAACCCCTACCCCTACCCCTACCCCTGACCCCCACCCCCCTCCCCACCCCCCGCTTTGGTCTGAGCCGTCTTGGCTAAACGCCTGCTCTGAAATCTCAGGCCTGAGGTAGAAGCACTAGCAACACCGACATTCGTCACTTAGGCTGCTGCTCTCCAGGACAAACAGGACACAGACAGGAAAACGCAGAGCAAAATAAATCTCCCTCAGCATCTCAGCATCTCTGTATTTGGGTTTGTAACATACACTTGTGCAGCCTCCAGCTCTGCAGCCAATCCCGAGGCCGCAGCGGCCGAGCCGAGCCTACCTTTTCGGGCTGAGAGAAGGTGCCGGCGTTGCAGGGCGTCCTGGGGTCCCACAGCTTCACCGTCTGGTCCCAGCTCCCGGTGACCATCACGTTGACCTCCGGGCAGTACTCCACACACCTGATGGGGGCATCGTGCGTTCCCACCAGGTTTTCTACAGGAAAAGCAAAGCGCACGCTGGTTTACTGCGCCTGCCACCCCAGGTTCCCCCAGTGAGCAGGAGAGTCCACCCCCGCCCCCGCTCGCTGTCCAGCAGACTGGCCCCAGAGGCTGCCCTGAACTTCAGGTCACTTAAAACGAGAGCCCGTCTACTGTCCTCCCCCGATTCTGAATTCCTTAAAGGAGGAACCTCGTTAAGTCTGCAGCTATGACAGTATCTAGTTCTGACATATGGCAGGTGCTCAAGAAACGCATGCTGAATGAAGACATGAGTGGGTAACTTGTCTTTTGGACCTAAATAAAACTTATCAAATTCAGCCAATGCAATAAAATCTTACTAAAGTGGTAACAGTTTATCTGAGATCTGGAGATGAAAAGAGCATGGAATCTTATGATTAATTCACTTGGTTTGCACGATGGGTCAAATTCCCAAAACCATTTCTTTCCTTTCAATTTCAACTCTTCACTGTCTCATTCATTCATTCAATTAGCATCTACTGAGTGACTACTATTGCCGGCATCTGTGCCCAAGGCTCAGCACACAATAAAGAACAGGAATTGATCCTGATCCTCAAACAGGAAAGCTACTTGTTTAAAAAATATTTATCATCTAAGAAAGAAAAAAAGCTTACCAGGTTGGGCAGTGAAATACAGAGAATAAACAGCCAATTCCCTTAATTATGGTTTCCAGCATCGAAAGCATTTTTAAGTTTGTTTTTCAGTGTTTTTTCTGCTTTTAAACAAACAGGACTTAAACCTGCAAACTAACTTCCTCTGTGGAATAAGCCGCTGGCCAGCACAACCAGACATGAGCAGCTGCCAGAGCGGCTTTTCTGCAGGAACCTCTTCTCCTGGCTTCCTTTTTCTGGCACAGTACTGTGCCCCTCCTCTGCCCCTCCTCTCACTGCCCCACCACTCACCCAGTCCCACCTGGGCGTGCGTCTCCTTCAAATACATCTCTGTCGGATGCATGTGTACACACCAACCCCCAAAAGCAAAACACGATAAAAGCTCTGCCCGGAGCTCTGTGCCCGGCCCCCCTCTCTGGCCCCTGAGCAGGTTAACCACAGACAGCGGGCCCTCCGTCAGCCAGGACAGCTGCTGAAGCCTGCTCTCTGCTGAGTCCAGACCCAGTAGGATTTACAGCCCCGCGCTGTTTTATCTCAGAACATTAGACTTTTTAAAACCTACCCTCCCTCCAGCTAATTTAGACCGGCTTCTGACAGGAGAACGAAACACCAGCCGGTCCTCCAAGCCGCCGGCCCACCGCCGAGGCCCAGGTGCCCGGTGCACGCCGGGAGATGGGGCTCAGGACGGGCCTCCTGAGGAGGCGCACACACCGCGTGCTGATGGGTAACTTGTCCGATCACTTAAACACAAAGTCCTAAGTGTAAGCACAGGGCCTGGGCCTGAGCCCCCGAGGAATCGGCAATCCCGCCTCTCCCCTCCTGAGAGGCACTCACGCCCCAGCACTCCTGCCCCGCGCACAAAAGGCAGGTTACCTTGGTCCGTGTTCAAATCGTGCATTTTCAATTGGTTGTCTAATCCCCCACTCCAGGCATGCGTTGGGTCCTACAAAATAAAGGTTCGGGCCATTGGAAACAGAGCTTTAGAGATGGTTTGCAAATCCCCGCCGGCTGATGAGTTTATGCTCAGAGTGACAGACACGGGCCTTCTCTCTCAGCGATCACACACGCAGCTCACAAGTAAAGCAGCCAGTGGCCAGGACAAGGCACACCGCGGACGGGGAGCTAGGGAGCACCGCCCCGCCTGCAGGGCCCCACCGCCAAGGCAGGCGCGGGGAACAGGCCAGGGACCCGGCGGGCGGACGGGCGGATACGTACGTAGAAGGCGCAGTCCAGGACGGCGCCCGAGTGCTGGTACTTGAGCCGCAGCGAGTTGGCCGGCACGTCGTAGAGCCGCACCGACGTGTCCCAGGACGACACGAGCAGGAACTGCGAGGTGTTGGGGCTGAACTTCACCGAGGAGATGCCGTCCTCGGGCGGCTGGTTCAGCTTGAACTCATTAGAGCCGGTCATCTGCGGGGAGCGCGGGTCAGAGGCCCGGGGCGGGGGCGGGGGACGGGGACGGGGGCTGGGGGGCTGGGGACGGGGCTGGAGACGGGGGACGGGGCTGGGGGCTGGGGACGGGGCTGGGGGCTGGGGGGCTGGGGACGGGGCTGGGGACGGGGCTGGGGGCTGGGGGGCTGGGGACGGGGCTGGGGACGGGGCTGGGGGCTGGGGGCTGGGGACGGGGCTGGGGGTTGGGGGGCTGGGGACGGGGGACGGGACCGGGTCGCGCCGCCGCGCCTGCGCAGAGCCTGCGCGCCCACCGTCGGGACTCCCCTCCCCCGCCGCGCCCAGAGCGCCCAGCCCCGGCCCGCTCCCCGCACCCCGACTCCAGCCCCGCGGGGCCCTGCACCCGCCCCGCCGCGGGCTCGCGCCCGGCCCCTCCCCGGGGCTGCGGCCCGCGTCTCCTGAAGGAAAGGAAGGGGGGAGCGGAGCGGGCTCCCCGCGGACGGCCCAGCAGCCCCGCGCCGGGGAGCCCGGGTGCGCCCCGCCGCCCGGCCCGCTACCTTGATTTCCCCGCGGATCACTGGCCGCCGCTCCGCCGCCTCGCCGCGCTCCCAGCTCCCGCAGGCTGGACCGAGTGGGCGGGGAGGAAGCTCCGGTGCTCGCCTGCCATTGGCTGATTTCAAAAGCCAACGTCTCAGTCTAGGCAGACGATTGGCCTGCTCGGGCGTCGGTCAACCAGTCATCCTCTTCCGGCTCAAAGGCAAACGCGGCTTTCCGATCACGTGGTCTCGCAGTATCGCTAAGCTGAGGCCCTCCCAGCTAGTGCTGACCGAGTGAAAACTACAACTCCCAAGGAGCATCGCGCCAAGACTGGGTTTACGCCTTCTCAGACACGTGTGCGGCACGCTGGGAGATGGAGTCTCCCTGGGACCGACGTCCTTCCAGTCCTCTAAATACTAACTAGGAGGGAAAGATGCTCTTTGGGGTTCAAAGCATAGCTCCCTCCCCATCTGAGTTAATTTCGCAGACACAAGAACCCATTTTGGTCATTATTTCTATAGAGCTAAATTATTCTCCCTTTCACTGGACATACATACACTCATGAAGTTAACCAAAAATTGGAATAGAGAAGGAAATATTTACTCTAATGAATTGCATTATTTTGCCCTGAGTTTTTTCTCATTTTCCTGGAGTTTCCACCTATGAACCGGCGTCTCTCATTTCCTGTTGATCTAATAGAAACTCATACATATTTACTATGCTTTCTCTCTCCATTGCATCCTTCCACAAACATTTGAGTGCCTACTGTGTGCCAGGCTTGGTGAGGGGCTGGGAAGATGCATTAATCAGACCGTCCTTGCTCTGGAGGAACTCCCTGTCCAGAGGGGTGGACAGACTGGCGAACAGATAATTTGCAATGTGTTAAAGTTCAAAAGCTTCTTTTAGACATACATTAAAATAGGGTCTTAAAATGCCAGCTCTAAGCTTCTCTACCCACTCCACCCACGCCCAGAATTTTGAACTCAGTTTGCTCTATTTTCAGTTTCTAGAATCCTCCACAAATAGAATAATCAAGAAGGTTGCCTCTGTAATAAGAAATAATTTGATCTCCATGAAAGGAAAGCAATACTTAATTTGTAACTAGAATGCTGTGACTCAGTTACTCTTAAATATCAAAAACACTGAAATTGTTCAAGGTGACCCATGCTATAACCTCTTTTTCACTTCCTTTTGTGAGAAAAAAAAATCTCATGTGATTATGTAACTTAGTATAAAGTGAGAGGAAATTGTTGAGGTTAAAGTGACTTTTAAGGTGCATTGATAGAGGGAAAAAGTTTGGTCTTTATGCATGCACTCAAGCTGACTCAGGTGCAATTCCTTTTCTAATTCTTGATACAATAAGCGCAGAAACCACCACTCTTCTCCTCACTGTAGAGTAATACCTCTGCTCAAAGGTCAGATTCTTGCCCTCCCTCCTCACCAGCCCTCACACTGGCTTCTCTCTCTCTTCTCTTTCAACAAGTTAATGGCTAGGTTAAGAATTTTAAAATACAGTGCCTTGCCTCCATCCTAACGTTAGCTAAATAATTTTATACCCAAATAATTTTATTTAGTTCCTTCTCCCCATTGCTTATTTAATTATATTAGTGCTTGGAGATTCTGAGCATGAATTACCCACTAATAAAATCTAAGTGTATTTCATTATCTACTGGGCGTATGATTCAGGTCCCTCTGGGCATGCAGTTGCAACCAGACTCCATTTGAGTTTTGAGAAACGTCAATCTTTTAAATCCAGTTTAGACCCCGAAAGGAGGCTGGTGATTTGGCTGATTATTCAAATGAATTGATGGTCATGAGCTAGGAGATCTGGCCAAGATGGAGTCTTGGACATCATTTTAAATCCAAATGCAAGGCTGTGTGTGTGTGTGTGTGTGTGTGTGTATACCGGTAAGAGAGAGGAATTCCTAGAAACCAATGACTATTGGACCCTGCTGTCTGCTCATCTCCAAGTTGGTAAGAAAGTGAATGCCCACCACATGACAATCTGTAAAGGGGTCGCCCCTAAAATCCGAAGGGCAACTTGGCCATTCAATGAGTCCAGTGGCCAGAGGAAACCACTTGCTGTGAGAGAAACCCTCATTTTTAAACCATCACCCGAGAAAGGCAGTCTGCTGGCCTGCAGACAACAGTGATGCGGATGGGCTCTTCCTGGGCGAGAGGTCCCTGGAAAGCAGTTTGGTTATTTCTGCATGAAATGCTCAAGCAGCACATTCAGAGGAAAGGGAGAATTTAAAGTGGGCCATCGGGTAGGGAGGCGGTCCTTGAAATAAAATACGTGTAACAGCCCTGGGCGGGCAGCTCGGCTGGTCAGAGCATCTTCCTCAGACACCGGAGGTTTCCGCTCCATCTCTGGTCAGGGCACATTCCAGCATCAACCAATGGACGCATCTGTGAGTGGAACGACAAACCCACCTCCCTCTCTCCTCTCTCTCTCTCTCTCTCTCTCTCTCTCTCTCTCTCTCTCTCCTCAGTCAATAAATAAAAATATGTGTACCAAATACATCAGGAGGAAATGGACCAGTGTCACTGTTCTCTCCCTCCGAATACCCCACATTTAGCATAGTTCTCAGCCAGCAGCAGAGCCAGTAACTGCTTATTGAATTGGACTCAATTGAAATGAAATGGATGCACTTGAACGGACCCAGGATTGGCAGAGGTGTTCTTGGGTACCGTCCTTCCGGTGTGGCCTCGAAATAAATTGTGGTTTTTATGAAATCTCATGTGAGAAGGAAAAAATAGGACCTCAATCTGGACAAGAAACAGCTTGTGGTGGTGGTGGTGGGGGGGGGTTTGCAAGTATCCCGTGCACATGCTGCCTTCCTAGACAGGAAATCCCTTCCACGACGTGAGCTCCCCGCACCTTTGCACCCGCTAAGGGGGTCCCCGTTTCCCCCACACCCCCACCCCACACCCCCGTCTGGAGCTCGTCTCACGTGACACCAAACACCAGCCACCCCTAAACTCAGGCTTCCTCTTCAGACCAGGAACCGTTTTTACCAGGAACAGGTGGCCGCGATCCGCCCTGGGAGAGGAGATTTGCATGCGGTTCCCGCGCGGTTCCCTGGGCGCCGTGCCCTCCCCGCGGACACGACCCGCGCCCGTTGGGGCCTGAGGTCCGCGGGCGCCCAGGCCTCCCCGGCTTTCCTCCATGCGAGCAGCCGCGCACTGACCGCGACCCCATTATTCCTCCGCACACAATGCGGACACCCCGCCAGCAAAACAGCCAGAGAGGTGCCCCCCCGCCCCGGCCCCCCGCGCCCCGCGCCCTCTCCTGGGGTCCAGCGCAGACCCCCCTCCTCCGCCGCCTAGGCGCCCGCTCCCCGCGCCGCAAGGAGCGCCCGCTGGGCCACCCGCCGGGATGGCCTGGCCGCGGGCTGGGGGCGGCAAAGGAGCTCGGGACCCGGTCCAGGCCGCGCCCCCACCTGCCCTGCGCCCCAGAGAGGCGCCCGGGTCCAGGGCGCACCGAGCAGCACGCCGCCCCGGTGCTGCCGAGCCCAGGCAGCCGGTGCCGGGAAGGCGCTCTCTCCCTCCGGTGCCCGCCCCGCCGGTTTCGAACTGGATTCGGGGAGTGGAACGGGGTGCCATCCAGCTCACGTGCCGCCAGCTAGTGTCCCGACCCTTAACCCCTGACCCCGGCCCCGCCCTCACCCGGCGGGTCAGCCTTCTACCCCACCCACCCCCACCCCAAGCGGGAACCCCTCCACGTGCCAGCAGCCACCACAGCCAGCGAGGATGCTTTAAGTGGTTTATTTCCTTTTCTTTAAAAATATGTACAGATCTGAAACCTCACCCTTTCGCCCCCGCCCCTCCTCGGGACGAGGGAAACGGAAAGGCGGCGCGGAGGTCATGGTCCGAGGCGCGGGGCTGGCGGCGGGCTGGGCGCAGGGACGTGTGTGCGGAGGCGGAGGGCGCGGAGGCCGGTCGGTGTCTCCCTGTTTGTCTGGTTGGCTTCTCCCCACTGATCCCGCCGGCCCGGCCACCTTTCCCACCGCCCCGGGGGGGATACCCCTTCCCGCGGGGTGTCCAGCCTCCCGGTTCGTTTGGGGCAGAAGCGGGTCTGGCCTGAGGCGGACCCATGAGACCCCAAAGCGATCCACAGGAGAGAGGGGGGCAGAGGCCATAAACGGGGAGGTAAGGAATACACACGGTGTATTTCTCGGTGTTTCTGGCCGCTCGCCGCCCCCTCGGGAGCTGGATCCGCCCTGGGGCCGCGCTGGGGGCGGGCGGTGCGCCAGGCTCCCCGCGGCCGGGGGCGGCGGGCCGGGGCACCGGGGGTGCGGGGGGCGCCGGGGCGCGGGGCCGGCGCATGGGCACGCGGTCAGTAGTCCAGCTTGTTGTACAGGCCGTAGAGCGGCAGGGCCGGCAGGCTGCCGCCGCCGGGGTAGTAGAGCGGCGCGGGGAAGGCCAGCGAGCGCGGCACGGGCACGCGGAGCAGCGAGCTGTCCCGGAGCACGAGCGGCAGCCCCACCAGAGTCTGCGCCGACGCGTGGGCCATGTTGGCGGCCTCCAGCTCGGCCGAGAGCTGGCGCTTCCACTTGTTGCGCCGGTTCTGGAACCACGTCTTGACCTGCGTCTCGGTGAGCTGCAGGGAGGCGGCCAGGCCGGCGCGCTCGGCGCTGCTCAGGTAGCGCTTCAGGTCGAAGGTGGACTCGAGCTGGTAGACCTGGCTGCGCGAGAAGACCGTGCGCGTCTTCTTCTTGGCGGCGCCCGCCGGCCGCTCAGCGCCGCCCTCCCGCGGCCGCTCGGGGCCCGGCGACGGCGAGCCCGCGGGCCGCAGCCGCTCCTCCTCCTTACAGTCCGGGTGCGGCGGGAGGAAGGGGAGGTGCGGCGAGCCGGCCGGGCCCGCGCCGCCGCCGGCCTTGGGGGCGCCTGGGGGGGAGAACAGACAGGGAGGCCGTGGGGACGGGGCGCCTCGGGCACCCCCGGCGCCGGCCGACGCCCCCTCCTTCTGGCCGGCGCCCGCAGCTCCGGGCCCGCGCCCGGCCTTTACGAAGCTCCAGGGACCCGCTGCCAGCCCGGGCTCTGCACGCCCGTTCCGAAGAGGGGAGCGGGGCCGCGTTCAGAGGTTGCTCTTCCCGGAAGGAACGAGGCGCGGGGGGGGGGGGGGCTCCCCGCTTTATGGGGCGACACCGCGTCACAGGCCGTTTGTCTGGGGATCGCTGAGGACTAAGCGGGGCTGCCCGTCCGCTGCCGTGAACGGGAATGGCCCCTGAAAGGAGCTATTGTCAACGTGCGGCCGGGCTCCTGCCCGACAGGGTGGGAGGAGAGGGGACGAGACAATGAGCGGAGGGACCGCGGCGGCGAGCGGCCGCTCTCAGACCCGGGGTGGCCGAGTGTCCACGCGCTCGGGGGCCAGCGGGGGCCGGCACCCTGCCCGCCCGGTCCCTCTCCCTCTGCCCGGTCCCCCGCGACCGCCCCGCGCCCCGGTCCCTCCCAGCGCCCGTGGAGCCCAGCGCGCGCGCCTTCTCCCCGGGACCCGGGACCCCGGGCGGCCAGGGCTCCGGCCAGCGGGGCCGCCGCAGAGCACAGGTCCCTCCCCCGGAGCGCGGCGGCCGGCGGCGGTCCTTACCCAGGCCGGGGAAGGGGATGGGGGCGTGGCGCCGGGCGCCCGGCTCCGTGGGGCCGCGCGGGTCGGGGCAGAAGCAGGCGGGCGCCTTCCAGCCGTCGTCCGGCTCCTCCTCCTCCGAGGACACGGACAGGCTGCGCGTCCTGGCGGGCCAGCCGGCCGGCTCCCGCGGGGCCTCGGAGGGGCCCCCGCCCAGGATGGACTGGATGGAGAAGCTGGAGACGCCGCCGCCGGCCGCCGGGCACCTCTTGCCCGCATCTTCCTTGCTGCCCATCCTGGTTCATAAGAAACCGAGGAAAGGAGAACGCCCTTTAGAGACGGTCGGCGGAAGGTGGTGCGGGAAGGCGGCGGGGGAGGGGCGGGAGGGGGTCAGGAGGAGGGGGCGCGAGGCTGGCGGGCGGCCCTGCGCACGGGGGACGCGGGCCCCGGACGGCGGCGCGGGGTCCCTGCCCGCGGGCTCTGGGTGGCCCGCCCGGCTCGGCCGCCCCCGCTCTGCCCGCGGCGCTGGGGCCCGCGGCGGGCGGCGGCTCATTTGCATAGCGGCCCGCGGGACGCGGCCAATCGCAGCGCCGCCGAGCGGCCCCGGACATTTTCGAAAAGCCGAGGCCGGGCCCGCCGCGCCGGTGCTCCCCGCGGCGCGCCCACGGCCCGGCGGGCACTGCGGGGTCCAGCCGGGGCCGCCGGGTCGGAGCGTCGCATCCCTCCGGCCAGACCCCGGCCTCCGTGCGGCTGGACCCGACCCGCGGCCCGCGCCTCCTCCGGGGGCCGCGCCTGCTCCAGGGGCGGCGACTGCGCGCAAGTCCGGTCTGGCGAGGCCGACTCCCCCCGCAGGCGACGGGTCCGCGCCCCCCGGAGAGCCAGCGCAAGCTGCTCCACGACCCTCCCCAGCCTCCGCGTCCGGAGCCTGCAGGCTGGGAGCCCCCAGACCCCCGCGCCCCTGGGGGGAGGGGGAGGGGGCGGAGCCTGCGCCTCGGAGCTGCCGCGCTCCCGGGAGCTCAGCTGTGAAGCCTGGAGCGGCTCCCGCTGCCCTTTCTCCTCCGCAGGCCCCACCCCCGTCCCAGGCCCCGGGCACCGCGGGGCCGTCCGGGTGGGTGGGCCCGGCAGGGGCGGAGCCCTGGATCCTGTTTCCAGAGACCCGGGTCCATCCCAGCGCCCCGTGGGCAGTTGGCGCTGCGAGGACTCGGACAATCCAGTCCCATCCGGGGGTTCCTGGCCTCGGACGGAAAGTGAACCCCTCGTTAGCGCGCTCCCCTCTTGTTTCGGGGGTCACCTGCAGTGGGAAGGGAAATGCCCTGGGGAGCGCACAGTAGGAGCTCTGCGGACCTTGGCTGGCTGGGCCACACCCATCTGGTCCGTTTTGCTCTGCTGTTTCCTCCCTCTTTGCAAATATCGGAGAAGGCGGGACAGCTGCCCAAACAGCGCTTGGCTCCAAGGAGGGGGCGGGCGGGGAGGGGCGGACGTGGTGTTGGAATTGGGCAAAGCCGCTTCCCTCTGGCCTGGAAGGCTTTGAACAGGACCCTTACCCTCCCTGAGCCTCGGTCTCCTCCTCTGAAAAGTGCGGGAGCAATGTCTACCTCGAGGAAGCCCGGAGGCCGCAGTGCCCACTCCTGGCCGGGCACCCAGTAGGCACTCGGAGGCCTGGCTCCTCGCAGCCCCCGGAGGGAGGCCTGGCTCTCGCCCCTCTCACCCCCAGATCAGCTGTTCCCTGACTCAGGACGGCCGGGCTGAGGCAGAGGCGGCCTGGGAGCGTTGTCTACCGAAGCTTCTAAGGTGAGGCGAGGCCCCCAGTGCTCAGGCACCCCCACCTCCCCGTCTGCGGCCTCGCCTCCCACCCACCGAAGCCCTGCCCCCTGGGTCCCCAAACGAAGCTCCGGATCAGTCCCCGCCTGCGCCCAGGCCCCGAGGCCCCGAGGCCCCGAGGCCCCGAGGCCCCGAGGCCCCGAGGCCCTGACGGCGAGCTCCCTCCGCGGCCGCCGCGCCCTTTGGAAACCCGGCGCGCTCCGGGCACCTCTAGCCGCGGGGAGGGAGCGCTGCGGCCGGCGGCGGCGGGCCTCTCCTCCTCGGCTCCTCCGGGGCTGGCTAATGGGCTAATTGATTAGGAGTCTCTGCGCGGCCGGGCGCGGGCCGGCGCGGGGCGGGGGCAGGCTGTGCGCCTGGCCCGGAGGCCGGCGAGGGGCAGGTGCCGGCCTCGGTCACCCATTAACCTCTTCGGGGCGCGGCGGCGGGCGGAGACACATTACAAATGGTCAGCTTTCATCACGCTGTCAGCTCATTAACCCGGAAGGACCCGGCGCAGGAACACAATTTGCGTGGCCTCCTCGGCTCGGCCACAGTGCGCAGGCTCCGGGGCCGCGGGGCCGGACCCTCACCGGCTCCCACCTGCGTGGGGTGGAGGGGAGGGTCCTGAAGGAGCACCCGACTTCCTCACCCGCCCGCGGCCTCTCTGCCGGCCACAGCACCCGCACTGGGCGCCCCGCACTGGGAAGAGGGCGGGGAGAGGGGGTAGGGGGGCTAGCCCCTCTGCGCGAGGGGGGGGGCGGAGGGGAAGACCTGGTGCGGGACCAGGAGCGCGCGGGGAACATCCTGTCCTCTGGCGCTGGGACCCTCACAGCAAACCCAGCTGCAGGCCCTGCCCCGATGTCAGGGCGGGAAATAGGCTCCAAACACCAGAGTGAGCAGCCTCAAGTTCAAGGTGGCTCCGCTGTGAAGACCAGGCCCCTGGCGTTGGGCTTAGGGGATGGCGAACGAAGGAAACGAAGACCCTCCCCTCTCCTGACGCGGGGGTGGATCTGTGTGTGGGGTCAAGGGCTGGGGGCGGGGTGGCCAGGCCTGTGGGGTAGGCCTGGGAGAAGCATTAGGCGACAAGGGACTCTACCTGGGAAACAACCGGCCACTCAACCCAGGGCCTCTCACCCCGCACAGGCCCCGCCCCGGCGGAAGGAGCCATCCGCCCGCTACCCGCCTGCTGGCCACGCCCACTCGCAGGGATGGTCTGGTCCCCCCAGAGGTGCGTTCCCGCCGGCCCCCGAGCAGCCTCCTCCAGCCCCACCGCACACCCTTCGTCGGAGGCTCCGCTTTGAGCAGCTGGCACGCACTTGCACAACCGTTACACACACGCACACATGCACACGCACACGCACACGCACACGCCTCCACACCAAACAGGGCGCAGAGTGGAGTCAGGGATGCAGGCGGAGACTGGAGAAACCTCTGGCTCCGACCCCCTGGCCTCTGCTCTGCCCCCCTCAACTAGTCCCCTGGGAGCCTCCTCCCTGTGCACCGCCCGCAGTCACACGCAGGCGCTGGGGGCCAAGACGCGACCTTCCCGCCCTTCCTGGGGCATCCGAGGGCCCCCAGACTCCACGGAGCGCGCAGGGGCCCGCGCAGCTGCAAAGCACACCGCCAGGAGCCCGCCCCCGCTCCAGGCTCCTCCATAAAGGATCTCAGTACGTGTTCCAGGCCTCAGCCACCAGGTCTCCATCCTGCGCGCCATCCTTCACCTCAGAGCCGCCTGCGACCCCCTCCCCCCAGCCTCCTCGCCTCTGGGGAGCGGGTCCCTCCCAGCTCCACTCAGTCCCCAGCCGCTGCTCCCCGGGATGATGGCCCCTCCTCGGGAAGGGGGCCGGTGGACCGCTCCCCGGAGGAATGATGCTGAGGGGTTGAGAGGAATGACAAACTTTCCCAGGCCGGAAGGACGCTTCCAGCGTGGCCTGGGGATTAGGCCGCTGCTCAGTGTTAACCCGGCCCGGAGCGAACTCGCGGAGGCGGCTAATAAAAATTGATCCTCCGCGCTCGGCAGCGGGCCCTGGGCCGGCTGAGCGGTAATAGCGGAGAAGGCTCGCGGGGAAATGACAGATGAAGTCATAAACAAGTTTGATCTTGGAATCAAGCTTCGATAAATATTAAACACAGTCTGGAACCCCCCCCCTTCGCCGGTGGATTATGATATATGGCGCGTCCAAACTTTAAAATAAGGAAATACCAGAGAAAATGATCTCAATAAATTTTCTAAGTATAAACGTTGATTATGTTTCGATTTTCATTCAAGGGCCTGTGCTGTTCGTTCTTTGGTGCAAATGACATCTCGCAATGGGCTCTGGGGGCGGGGGGGGGCTCCCTCTTTGGGAAAGAGGGCCCAGAGGTGGACAATTTATGTAATCTGCGGCTGGAAAATGAATTCTGTAATTTATTGGAAAACAAAGTCCCGAAGATTGGATCAGGAGCGGCCGAGCCCCGGCACCCCGCCCCCACCCCCCATCCATCAAGTTCCAATTAACAGCCTAACCAGAGAGCCTTAATGGGTTTCCAATCTAGTGGCCCTGATAGACTCATCAATTCCTCTGGGAGAAATTAAGAAAATCGACCGCCCCTTGGCGACGCAGTGTCATTCCTTTCTGCAACTATATGTCAAATTAAAAACACAATTAAAATTTAAACTGTTTCAATCAAAGGGTGCCCTGCAACCTATGTTTCACTTAATAGAACTTTGATGAAAATCTGATGCGTGCACTCCGTCACCCAGGGGGCAGGGGGGGGGCGCAGGAGGGAAGGGGATTCTTGCTGTTTCTTAGGATGTTGGCGCCGGGGCGAGGCCCGCCAGGTGAGTACCCCTCGGGCTCCGGCCACGTGATGGGGGCACGGACGCTCTGGATGCGCTCCCACTCACCGGCTGGACACTTGCCCTCACCCCCTACCCCTTTCTCTCTTCTGTCCATCCACCGCAACCGGAAGGGATCCTTTGGGAACCCCGGCCACATAGATTTGGGGCAGTTTCACCCCCGAGATGCATGGCCTATAGCAGCGGCGGCAGAGGGAGGCAGCGCAGCCCTGTGCACCGCGGGGGACCTCGGAGGAGGCACGCGGCCTGCCATACTCTCTCACGTCTGGGCGGTTGCTCTGAGCCCATGAGCTGCTCCGGTACCTGGAGGCCCAGGTGGGAGGAAACCCAGGCGGAGACGTGAGCCCCTTGGTAGTGGCTCTGGCCTCACTCAGGACTCGGGCCAAGGCGGCTTCAAAGTGCAGCGGCCTCGTTCCCACCAGGCCCTTCCGTCCTTCCGCCACCGGCGCCTCACTGTGCCCGGGGTGAGGGCCCCCCCACCGCTCACCCCGCCAGGAGCGCGCGCACACGGCGCACACACAGGCGCGCGCTCCCGGAGGCGTGTGCACAGACCCCAAAGCCGGGAGGGTCTTCGGGCCGCGCGGGGCGGGGCAGAGTGGGCGGGAGCCAGGAGGAGGAGCCGGCGGATGGCCTCGGGCGGACCCCAAGGGGCCCCGGGGGCTGCCCGGCTGCGTTCTGGACCCCAGACGGGGGTGTCCGTGGGGCTCCCGGGTCATGCACTCTGGCGCCGTCGGGGTGACCCTAAGAAAGGTCTTTCCTAGCGGCGCTGCCGAGTCGGTTTGGGGCGCTGAGGACCGGCCCCTAGACAGGCCTCCAGGCCGCGGGGCGTGACCACCAGAGAGGTGGAGCCACGGGGAACCTTCGGGGCGGACGGCCGGCGGCCTGCGGCCTCCGGGGTTCGGGGCTCCGCTGGGAAGTCCAGGCGCCCGGAGCACAAAGGGGTGGGAGCAGAGCGCGTGCCCGGTCCGGCGGCCCGCAACCGTCAGGGCCCCCTGGTTCCCTCTCCCACCCCGCGCCCAGACCCTCGGCGGCCCGCACGCGCCCGCAGAGGAGAAAGCAGCCCGCACCGACCTGCGGGCCTCCTCGGTCCCGCGCCGGGCCCTCCAGCGCGCCGGGAGCCAGGAGAGGAGGCACTGCGGCCCGCGCGGGGCCACCGGCTGGGGCAGCGGCGCCGGGAGTGGTGAGGGGCCGTCCCGGCTCAGAGTGAGCGCCTGGCGGGCCGGGTATATCTGCCTCGCTGTGTTTGGTGTACACACACTCGCTCTGTTTACCACCAAATAAAAGAAATACATCTGTGTTGCCAACAGAAACAGCTGGAGCTCCGGCTCCGCGGTCTCCCAGGGCCGCAGAGCCGCTGTGGGGACCGGCTCCCAGCGAGGCCCTGGCCTGGCCGAGGAGTGTGGGGCTCCCCCGGGGCTGCGGGCAGCTCCGCTGGTGTCCCAGGCGGCTGGGGCAAGGGGAGCACGAGGCGCCTGCGGAAGTTCAGGCCTGGAGCAGCGCCTGGCTCCTCAGCCCGTCCTTCCCGCAGGCTTTTCCGCCTGGGAAGAGGTGCGCGAGGCGTGGACGAGGCTGGTGCTGAGCACACGGGGCGGCTGGGAGCTGCGCACACGGAGGCAGCGGTCTGTCAGGAGGCCTAGCTGTGCGCTGCGGAGCCTGTCCGGCCTGCTGTCCGGGGCAGGAGGGCTCTGGCTGGGAAGCCGGTCATTGGCACGGACTTGAAGATGAGTGGTGCCCGGAGGGAAGAATTCGGGGCTGGGGCTGGAGGAGAGGAGGCTGGACCCAGCTCTGAGGGGAGGGAAGCTAAAAGGATGAATCAGGAATGAGGTTCATTGTGGGGGGCGGGGGTACTGACCCCCTGGCTTCCCTCCTTGGACTGCCTGGAGTAGATGGGTGGGGGCACCTCACTCCCCCAGAGTCCCCTCAAGTGAGCGGTTCCGCACCCCCACCATCCCTGGGAGAGGCAGCAGCAGGGAGGGGGAAGGAGGGGACGGGGAGGTCGTTGGGTGTGGAGAAAGGTGACCCCGCCAGCTGCCCAGATGCGGCAGCTCCGCCAGCGCCCTCTTGTCTTCTCCTGATATCAACGCGGAGGAGAGATGGCAGCCGGGCCTCTGATGGAGGGAGCGCGAGGTGGCTGGGCTGCTCTGACACTCCCCGCCCCAGCCCCTTCTCCTGCTCCCTGAGAAATGCCAGGCCCCCACCTGACCAGAGAGGAGGGCGGGCTTCTAGGCCCCAGCAGCCCTCAGCCCCAGGGGGCGGAGCGCGACCCCCCACCCCCAGGACGCCTGCTCTGGGGAGAGACGCCCCAGGCCCGGCTCGGGCCTCCGCTTGCAGAGGGAAAGGAGGATAAACGGAGCGTGTGAAGAACCAGTTATTTCTCGACTTTGTAAAGACTGGGTCAGTCAAGAACCGTTTTCTCGAATCCAAACACAAATAAAGTCTTTTCTTGGCGCTTGATAGCATCGGTGTCCGGGCTGTAAAACCTGAGGACGTGTTTGCTGTTGCAACATTGCTTTTAATGAGCTGCCGCGGGCCTGGCCCGCGGTGAGTATTGCCAACAGCCCCGGGCATCGCTCTGTTTGCAGGTAACACAGGGATCGCCGCATTTTGACCCCGAATGTCTGTTTATTTTTCATTTACGACACATGCCCCCGTTTTTATTCCAAACCAGAGGGAAATAAAGGGAGGTCTGCCTTCGCTGTGGTCCAGGCTGAAATTTGGCCATAAATACTCAGGCCCATCAGCGGGAGACCAGGCCGGACGCTGAACCGTTTGTGCGGGCTGCGCTGGCGGAGCCGGGCGCTGCGAGAGGGGCCGTAGCGCGCAGGCTTTCCCCAGCGGAGGCGCCCCGCGCGAGCGCTCCGCAGGCCGGTCTCCCCGGTCCGCATTCCCCTGCTGGTTCCCGGCTCCAAGGACGCGCTGCCGGCAGCCGGGCTGCAGCCGCTGCGCTCAGGCAGGAAGCCGCCGCGGGGCGAGGGGCGCCGGAGAGCCGGCTTCTGCCGAGGACCCGCGCTCCCAGCGGCCTCCCGCCCCGCGCCCCGCCGGCGTGGGAACAGCGAGCGGCGCGCTCCAGGCCGGCGGCCGGGACGGGGAGGGATACGGAGAGGCGGCTCTTGGGTATGGGCGCTGGTGGGCAGCGGCACGTGGACTGCGCCCCCATTCCAACCCCCCCACCCCGCCCAGGAGCCGTGGTTCCACACCGACTGCACAGGCTGCCCGGTCCCTTGGCCTCCCCAGATGCCCGGCCTCTCCCAGACGGACTTCGGGGCCGCCTGTGGCCGCAGCCAAACCCTAAATCCACTCCCGTCCCCATTGCCCACACCCGGGCCCGCCTGCTCCAGGCCCGCCGCCCGGCCCAGCGCTGTCCCCCCAACCTCCCGGCTCCCGCAGGAACCATGTCCCCGGAGCGGATGCGAGGCCACCTCAGGGCTTGGCCGCCGCCGCGCCCATCCCGCAGCCCAGAGAAGCCCGGTTCTCGCCCTTCTGCCCCTCATTCCTCTCCTGCTCCCGAGCGTTCAGAGCCGCGGGGGTGCCGCGAAGGCAGCGGCCGGCGGGAACACAGCCGCCTTTGTCTCTCCGCCGCCGGGATGGATGCAGCGGCCGCGCCGGGCCAGACTGCGCACCGCCCGCCCCGCCGGCAGGGAGGACCATCCAGACACCGGCTCCGGCCCTGCAGTCGCAGTCACAGTCACACACGCGGCAACACCAGACGCTTCGCTTTGCTCTTTAATGAGTTCCGTTTCACCACGACATGGAGTGTAACAACGTTTTGTTTCTTTTTCTCTTTTTCTTAAAAAGGGACTGAACCCAGACGGAGGTGGGGAGATGGGGGGGGGGAGCCTGGGGGGCAAACTACCGCAGAACGACAGGTGCAGCCGAGGGGGGGGGGCAGACACGGATGGGGTGGCAGAGCGAGGAGCCCTGCGGAGCGGAGGGTGAACTTTACAAGAAATCTGTACATTTATCAAATAAGTTAAAATTCTCCTAAATTGATTGTCCTTCACTTAAAGCGCTCCAGTCTCCTGTCTCAACTTCTCTGAGCCTTGCTACCTGCCTGTCCTTCTTTCCTTTCTCTCTCTCCCCCCTTCTTTCTCCTTCTGAATTGTCTCTTCCTGAAGCAATGGCCGGAGTACACAGTGGGACGCCCGCCTCTCCGGCGGAGGAAGGCCCGCGCTCTGGGGGAATGCCCACAGTATTGCACAGATCAGCTCAGCTGCTACTGCCTGACCGAGAGGGAGAGGGAGGGGGTGCGAGCCACAGGTTGTTCCTTCTCGTGCGGAAATTACTCTCTAGGAGGGGGTAAAACAATAACAGCAACATTAAGAATAATTTACCGACAAGTGGAATTCCAAAAATAAACGCCACTAATGAATAAGGCTGAGCACGGGCTGAGGTGGAGCCGGGAGGCTGCTGTGGGGCGGTCTGGTCTTCTCCCTCCCGACACTGAGATAATTCTTGGGGCGCAAAGCAGAACAGATGAAGGATTGAGACAGACAGACCTTGAGGAACTGAGGCAGACCTCGCGAGAGAGCAGGGCGGCCTTCATTGGGGGGTTCTTACAAGAGGCTGCTCAGGTTTTGAAAATTGGGGAGGATAACTGTTTGTGTGTGTGTGTGGGGGGGGTGAGGAGAGGCAGAACCACACCCAGAAATCTAGAAATAAAAATACTACAATGCGAATCCTTTCTCTCTCTCCCCCATCTCTCTCTCCCCCCTTCCGAAAAATAGTTCTCTAGGAAGGAATACATTAGAGGGGGCCCGCTTTTTGCGTTTATTTTCCTCCGATGAAAACAAAACCAAAATAAAGCAGCAGCGCGGGATGCAGACGTGGTGGGAGGGGTTGCTCACATCCCCAAAGCTTCCAGCGGGAATAGTTTGGAATATTCCGGACCTGCTTCCAGTCCTCTTTAACACAGAAGCCGAAAACCAAAAGGCAGAGGGGCAGCGCCTCAGATCCACGTGGGGGGTGAATTGCACGAGAATGCGTTGCAAATACTTACAAAAAAACGCTACCCTCAGGGGGAGGGGAGGCCGGGCCGCGCCGCGCCGGCTCCCGAAGGCCGCTGGGCGTCTGGGCGCCCCAGGCCCGGCCCAGTCTCCTCTCCTCCGGGGCCGGGAGGGGGCCGGCGCGCCCTCCGCCTCCCCTCTCCCGGGCCTCAGACGGGCCGGAGCAGCGGCACGGAGGAGACCACCGGGTGCGAGTAGTAGACGGGGTGCGGGAAGGTGAGCAGCGGCTGGCTGGCCGGCACCGGCGCCCCCGCGGCCGCGGCCGCCGCGCCCTCGGCCGCCGAGTTCTCGTGGTAGAGGATGGGCACCCGCACGATGCGCTGCGCGGCCGCGTGGCTCAGGTTGGCGGCCTCCAGCTCGGCCGCCAGCTGCCGCTTCCACTTGTTGCGGCGGTTCTGGAACCAGATCTTCACCTGCGTCTCGGTGAGGTGCAGGGAGGCGGCCAGGCCGGCGCGCTCCGAGCTGCTCAGGTAGCGCTTCAGGTCGAAGGTGGACTCGAGCTGGAAGACCTGGCTGCGCGAGAAGACCGTGCGCGTCTTCTTCTTGCGGCAGGCCGGCTTCTTGTCGGGGCTCTCCGCGCCCTTCTTCCAGTCCTCCGGGCCCGGGGGCGCCCCGGCCGCCTCCGCCGCGCTGGCCCCGGCCGCCCCGGCCGCCGCCGCGCCCTCCTTCCTGCCCTCCTCCGAGTCGCTCTCCTCCAGGACGATCTCGTCCGGGCTGCGCGAGTCCAGCTCCTTGGGGTCGGCGTCGGCCTTGAGCAGCGGCTCCGGGGAGTCGCGGTCCGTGCCCGAGGCGGGCGAGGAGTCCCGCAGGAGCGCCTTCTCCGACGCTGCGGGGAGAGACACACGGAGGGATGAGCGCGCACCGGCGGCGGCGAGGCCCGGGGAGACAGGCGCCGCCTCCGCTTCTCGGGCCTCAGGGCCTCCCGCCCGCCGGCCTGCTCCGGCCCGGCTGAGCCAGAAGCGGGGCGCAGCGCCCCGGGGCCCCCTTCCCTCCAGGACCGGCGACGGGGCCCCTGACGGTGGCCGGCGATGCGTCCTCTTTCCCCGGCGCCCCCTCCCGCCCCCGCCCCCGCCCCGGGGCGCACAGAGGGGTTCGCCTCTGTCTGGGGGCCACCCGTCTGGCTCCCTCCATCCGGGCCAAGTCCTCCGAGGCCTCCCGGTTCCCGCCGGAGGCTGCTGTCCCCGGGAAACGCTGTGCCCGGGCTGCGGCTCCACCTTCTCACCAAGTGGGATTGGACTCCCGGGCCGGGAAGCCCAGTGGGCGGCCCGGCCGGCCGGGGGTGCGGGCCAGGGGCCGGAGGAAGTTGGCAAACCCCGGGGTGGAGGTGCGGGGAGGGGCCCCCGGGGCTGAGGGGGGCGCAGCGGGGCAGGGCGGTGGACGCGCGGGGACGGAAAGTTGAAGGAGCGGTCGGTAGGTACCTTCAGGCCGCGGGAGGGGGCCGCCGGCGGGGGCCAGGGTGTAGGGATACCACCAGGCCGGGGGGCGCTCCAGGTAGTGCGCGGGCAGGGCGAACCGCTGCGCTGGGATCTCCAGGCGGGGGAAGGCCAGCTCGCCCACCTGCGAGAGCGCGAAGCCCGCCGCGCCCTCCAGGGCCCCCTTGGCGGCGGCGGCGGCGGCGGCGGCGACCGAGGCCGGAGCGAAGAGCGTCCGCGGGGGCGGCTGCGGCTTGGGGGGCACGCGGGGGTGGTCCCCGTTGAGCAGGTTCTTGATGGAGAACGGGGACTCCTTGGGCGCGGGCGGCGGCGGCGGCGGCTGCGCGCCCGCGGCGCCGGGGGCGTCCGGCCCGGGCTCCGGCATGGTCCCCGGTCCCCTCTCCCCGGGCCCCGCGCGGAGGGACGGCGGGCGGCCGGCGGGCTGGCGGCGGCCGGAGATCAGACCATACACGGAACTCCACTCCGGGCGCGGAGCGGCGGCGGAGGCGGGGTGGCCCGGCGGGGCGGGCTCACAGGGGCGGGCGCCGGGGGCGGGGGCGGGGCGGCCTGCCGGCGGCACCGGGGAGCGCGGCGGCGGCTCCGGCTCCCGGGGCGGCGGCGGCGGCGGGAGCAGGTCCCGGTCCGGGGCTGCGTCAGTCCGGCCCGGATGCTAATGATGAAATCAAAATGTCATCCGAGTTAAGCGCGGGGGGCGGGCGGCGATTGGGCGCGCACAATGGCAAATGGGATTAGGGGCGCAGGCACCCCGCCGGCCGCCGCCCCTCCTCGCTTCCCGGGTTTGGCGCTTTGGCTGCGGGCGGGGAGCCGACGCTATTGGCTTTATGGGGCCCAATTAGGCGGCCGACGAGGACCAGCCCGTCCGCACAAAGGAGAGCGGCTCCGCAGGAGAGGCGCCCGGAGCGCCCGGCCTGAGCGCGCGGAGGAGCGGGGAGCGGAGACCAGCCGGCGGCGCCTGGGCCCGGAGCGCACTGACAGCCCAGCCGCGCGCCCGGAGCCCCAGCCCGTCTCCCTCCCCCGCCCCCGGCAGCCCGGGGACCCGCTCCCCTCCCCCTCCAGCCCGGGAACCCGCTTTCTCCCTCCACCCCCAACCCGGGGACCCGCTTCCTCCCCCCCCAGCCCCGGGACCCGCTCCCCCCGCTCCCCGCCGCCGGCTGCGGGAGGGGGAAGGGGCGGGCCCGGCCGGGTCACCTCGGGGTTACCCTCGTTCGCAGCTGCCGCCCCCGCCCCCGGGGCCTGGCACGGCCGCCGCCCCGGGAGCGGGAGAGCGATCCAGCGCGGCCCACGGGCAGGACACGGCCTCAGGCCCCGGGACCTCGGTGCTCTCCTCCTCCCGGCGGCCTGGCGGCCCCAGCGGTCACCCAGAGCCAGCCCAGGGCGCGCCGCCCAGAGGATGGGGTCCCGGCCCCCCTCAGTGGATGGGAAGGGAACGGGGGTGCGTCCCAGCGCCGTGTCCGCGGCTCAGTAGCCCCAGGGCCTTGGCCTCTGGCCCCGGAGATTGGTGAGGGGCCCCTCCCCGGAGAGAGTGGGGGTGCATCTCTGCGCCTCCACCTGGGGCGCCCCTCCGCGGGGCCACAGCGGCGCGAGGAGGGCGCTCCCCTCCCCTGGCCATGGGGGCCGGAAGCCTGCGACCCCAAATCAGCACGTTTCCCCGGGAGCGGCTCCGGCTGAAGGCTGACGCTGGGGGTTCCCTAACCTCTAACGGGCGATGGCACCGGGGGCGGCTCACCCTCCGGAGCCCCTGCAGAATGCCCCCCCTGGACGGAGGGACAGCGGGCAGACAGCACTACCCAGGCTGCTGTCAAAGCAACCTTCCCTCCCGCTGCACAGAGCTCTGGGAGGCCGGCCCCGCTCTGGATCCAGCCATCAGCATTGCTTTGGGGGGTCCCCTCCTTAGAAACGGCTCTCCCCTCAGAGAGAGGGGCACCCGGCCGCCGCCCCTCACACGCTGTGAGCGCCCCGTGCCTCGGTCCTGTGGGCCCCGCACTCACCAGGCTTCTCTTTTTAAATCTTTTTACCGATGCCAGGAAGGGAGAGGGAGAGAGAAACACTGATGATGGGAATCAGGATGGCTGCCTCCTGCGCGCCCCCCGCTGGGGATGGAGCCCCGATGGGGAATGGAACCCTGACCTGGTCCCTGGGTCCCCACTCAGCCCCAGGGCCCGGCCAGGGCCTTCTGTCCTGGGATGGAGCTTCCCTATCGCAGGCCCCGCTCTGGTCCCCAGTTGGGAAATGGGCTCTATTTTCCCATCAGGGTTTCGGGGACCTCCCCCTCCCCATCAAATTCGGTGAGCGCCTTTGGTGCTTCTCTCAGGAGTGAACCCCGAGTTTCTTTGGGGCCTAGAAACGAACTCCAGGCTCTGCTGACGGTTCCTCTCCGTTCGCGCGGGGCTCCTGACCGCACAGCGGGGCCGGGACCTGATGGGACCATCGCGGCCCCGAGGCCCCGCAGGCGGGTCCCCCTCGGGTTTCGCCGGTGGCCACGGACTCCGGGGGAGACCAGGCCAAGGTCACCCCTCGCTGCCGGACCCCAAAGCCACGTTCTCTCCAAAGACAGGCAGCTCCGGGCGCGGTCCGCGCAGGAGGGGGCGGGGGGAAAGGGGTGCACGGCCCGCACCCCCAGCCACGCTGGCGGCCGGGATGGGGGGACCGCGCCCCCAAAGGGTGTCAGGGGGTGCGGCACAGTCTCCCGGGTTCTGAGCACGGACGCCGCCCCGGAGAGGGCGCGCAGGGAAGCTGGTCCCCGGAGGGCGCGGGGCGGCTGGGCCTCAGTCTCCCCGGGTCCCCGGCCGGGGGGCGCCCTCTGGCCGGAGGAGTGCGGGGGGCGGGGACCCACAGCGAACCCCCCAAGTCCGGGGGGGCTGCGCCCCAACAGCCGGCCGGACAGCCTGTCCGCGGGGCTGCGGGGAGAGCTCGGTGCGGGTCCCCCGCCTCCGCCTCCGCCTCCACCTCCGGCCGCCGCCAAAGCCGGGCGAGCGGCGCCCTCTAAGGGGCGTCCCCGGAACCGCACCGCGGGCTCGGCGGCCGCCCAGTCCCCGTGGGCAGGTCAACCGGGAGACGGAGCAGCCCTTTCCGTGGATTCGGGGGACCCCCCTCAACCCCCGCGAGCGGAGCCGCAGCCCCACCGGCCCGCCCCTGGGCCTCGCCCGCCCCGCTTCCCCCGCCGGGGGCTCGGGGATCTGGAATGTTCCGCGGCCCCTGGTCCCCAGGCCCCTCCTGTCCCCCCTCCTATCCCCCCTCCTGTCTCCCCTCCTGTCCCCCCTCCTGTCCCCCCTCCTGTCTCCCTCCTGTCCCCTCCTGTCCCCCCTCCTGTCCCCTCCTGTCCCCTCCTGTCCCCCCTCCTGTCCCCCTCCTGTCCCCCCTCCTGTCCCCCCGGAGCAGGCACAGCCGCCAGGCCCGCGTCAGCCAGGAGCGAGCACAGGAGTGAAGTCTCCTTCCTGCTCAGCGCCTGGGCCTCCGGGGCCCCAGACCCCGCAGCAGAAAACAGTTACCTTGTTTTTAAGGTAAAAGAGCCAGGGATTGAGCATCGACCTACGAGCCAGGAGGTCAGGGCACAGGCCCGGGTTGTGGGTTCGATCCCCAGTGAGGGGCGTACAGGGGGCAGCCGGTCCATGGTTCTCTCTCATCATGGATGTTTCCATCTCTCTCCCTCTCCCTTCTTTTTTAAAAACTATTTTTTTTAATTGATGTCAGAGAGGAAGGGAGAAGGAGAAAGATAGAAACATCCATGATGAGAGAGAGTCACTGATTGGCTGCCTCCCGCACGCCCCACACTGGGGAGGGAGCCCGAAGTCCGGGCCTGTGCCCTAACCGGGGATCGAACCCTGACCTCCTGGCCCATAGGCCGACGCTCAGCCCCGAGCCAGGCTGGCCGGGCTCCGCATGCCTGCCGATGGCCAGTCTGTGTGTCTCCAGGGCCATCCCGGGAGCCGACTGCAGGCGCCAGGGTGTGGCCTGCACCCTCCTCACAGGAGCCAGGGACAGAGGTTCCGGTGACAGACGCGCCCCGTTCTGCTCCGGATGCCACCCCCTGGGCCCTTGGTCAGCGACCTCTGAAGTGGGTGGGACCCTAACCCTCTGCTCGCCCAGGTCGCGCTCAGAGCCTGGGTCCGGGCGGCCCTGGTTGTCACTGGCCTCCTGGGGGCATGGCCCAGGCACTTCGCCCCCAGGGCTCAGTGGTCCCCTGTCCTTGTCCATCACAGTCCGCCCCGAGGCGCGTGGCTGTGGGTGGCCTGCCCCCTCCCGGACAGGACACGCCGTGGACGTGGCAGAGCTGGGAGAGGGGCGTCCAGGGCCCTCCGGGCCCCTCTCGCCGGGGCAGCCGGAGGCACTGCCCCCGGACCTGCGTTCGCTCTGGACGGAGGCCCGGAGCCACGGGGCCTGTGGCTGCTCTGACAGACCGAGCCCTTCCTCCAGCCCCACGGAGGGCAGACTCCGGGCCCGAGGCCTGCAGGTCCCGGAATCCGGGTGCTTTGCATGCGGGTGCGCCCTGGAGTGTCTGTTGTTTTTCTGGGACGTGGAGTGACTGGGGCGCCGAGAATGGAATCCGGTTTGTCAGATGCTCACTGAGCACCTACTCTGTGTGACCCCCTTAGAGGGCGCCAGGCTGATGGGCAGGCCGGGGGGGGGATGTGGGGGGCGGCTTCCTCGCCCTGACCTAGTTAGGGGGGTGGCAGGACCCCCTCCGTCGCTCCTGGATTTACGTTCCTGCCGCACCAGGCCCCTCCATCCCTACCACCCCCACCCCCGGGGCCTGCAGGGCAGCCCGGCCTGGGGTCCTGGCCTCTGGGCGCTGCCAACTGGTGCCCCCCATTTTGCTGGCAACATGACCACCAGGGAGGCCACCCCCACCCTGAAGACACCCAGGACGGCCTCTCTCGGTGTTGCCCCCGTCTTCGGACACCGTCGGCCACGTTTCTGAGGGAGACCGGACAGTTAACCATGGCGTCTGCGCCTGGTTAATTGCCCGGTGGACGGATCGATGGTGCAGCCAGGCCGTCTGCGTGGCCGATAGGTGGTGATTCAGACGCCGGCTTGCTCCGTCCCCATTCCGCAAGCAGGCCTGGCCTGCGGCCGGGGCCACGCAAACAGCGCCATTAGGTCCGAGTCCCCGGCCTTGAGTGGCCCAAATAGTCCTGTTGGGGCCGGCGGCGCGGGGCTGATTGTGGGAAAATTGGAGCAATTTGCCAAAATAAGCCAAGTTCCTCCTCGTATTCTTCGTGTCTCTGCAGGAAATGGCTCCTCAGAAACGGAGTGGGAGTTAAACACCCTCAATGGCACCTCAGGTCCCGCCCCGTCACCCCCCTCCCCGGAGACCATGGTCCAGCTGCAGCAGCCGTTCCCAAAAGGGGAGCCCCGGACCCCAAC